AATCGGCCCGGGGATGGCCGGGACCCGATATCGGTTCGCGCGGAAAAACGAGCGTGCCTGAAACGCTCTTAATCGTCTTAATCGATTCACGCTGTCCCGTCGCAATTACGAACTTCAAACGTCAAATTCTAACTCTAACGTCGTTACGAGTGAACTTCACCGTGAATCCTTCGACCTGTCTCGCGACTCTTCGCGGTTCAAACGGAGAACGCGAGCTCCGAGCTGAAGCGAATGTTCCGCGTGCTTCTATTACGACACATGACATAAAGTTGCGATTTTGCTTTTGCTTCGTGAATGGTGAATTTACACGAGAGCCTACGCACGGACCTTGTAATGCAATAAAAAAATAATCTAAAATTCTATTGATTATTTTCTTATCTTAGTCTCCAAATTTCTCAGAAATTTCTTGACATTTCACATGAATAAATAAAGAGCCCATAGAGTCGCTCGAATTCGATTGATTTTTTATTCAGAATCCACTCTAAGCTCAAGTAAAATATTCACTCTCGCATAGATTTCGTAGTGGCAGTATTCTCACTATCGCTCCGACTGAAAACACTTTTTCTCGGAGTGAAATTTCACTCTGAGAAATTTAGAAGTATTAATTAGGTTGATTACTTTTTAACTGCATTACACACAAGATTCGTGCATAAGCTGATATGTCCTTTTGCCCTCCTTCTATGATCGAATGCCAAAGAGCTTTGCCCTTTATATTTCTTCGAAAATTACTCTTTTCGCAAATTCATGTCATAAGTTCCTCTATTTCTCTCTCTCTCAAGATCCCAAGGTCGTTAGTCGAGCGAAACGCGACGCTCGATAAGCGTCTCCTCCGGTCTCGTCCGGAGCGAAAGCACCGATCTCTTGTTTGCTCGCGATATACGGCGGAAGCTCGACGCGCGCGCTTGTGATCGTCGAGAACTACCCGAGTGTTCGCGATAACATAAAGGCTGAATAACAGGAGCGTTTGAACGGATACCTTGGGCGAACAATCGCACACGGGGGTGAGTTCCACGCTCAGAAGTCGAGCGAAACGTTCGGCGACGCGAGTCTGTGCGCGCGTTTACTACTCGAGTCTGCGGCGGCGTTATCGTAAATTTGTATTAAGGGTACGTGCGCGCCGCAGGTACGCGCCCGCCACCGATAGGGACCCGGAATTTGGGTCAGATGGCATCCCTTAATAAGCCCCGTGCACACTAATAGGCTTACTTCGGGCATCCGGCCACGGCTGATGCGCGATAGGATGATGCATCGTATATATCTGCCGTGCCAGATTACCTACGTACTTGAAAGCTTCTGTGCGGACACGCGCGTGGACACCACCGTGGACCACCGCGCCGTGTCGCGCCGCACCGTGCATCATGTTACCGTCAGACTTTGCGCGCCACATTACCTATATGTATATAATAGAATGCACGCCCCTCTGTTCCCTATACACTCCTAAACCCTTTGAACGATTTGTACTACATTTTGCATAGTTAGTCACGGGCAGACTGCGGAAATACAAGCCACATGAAACTTGCACACTCCAGCCCCTCCCCCTGATTTTATCCCCTTGACAACACAAGCAACGTCGGCTGGCCTCAGTGTACGCGTATGTATACGCGAAGGCCGTTAACGTTGAGACCGTTACGTCATAGCCGGTGGGTACAGGAGCGGCGATCAAACTTTTCGGACTGTACAGCTCCGCGCAGAAGTCGATTTTCACCGTGTGTGTGCGTGCGATCTGATCGAACGTAGCTGATTGAACGTAGCGTCGCGACAGAATTTATTGTAACAGTGCGGCTTCGGTTTCGACAGACACGTGATACGTTATTGGGTATACGCCTCGAGGATGCGATGCATTATGAAGAAATATCAACGAGAAATGCGGGTTACTTGACGGGAATATTCGGCATTGCCGAGATACCAATGAAATATCGAGTTAATATAAGCGGTTATGATAAGCCTGCTGGTTCAACAGCGAGGCAGAGTCGCAAAGTCGTATTTAAATGCCGCGTCTAATGGAGCAGGGACGAAGCCACTCTCGACCTTAACGGCACGCAACACACACACACACACACACACACAAAACCACCTTTCACATTCCCCGACTGTGAAGCGGGATTGCAGATCTTCGATGCTTACGAATGATCGCTTGTGTGCGGATAAACGACTTCGGCGCACGCGAATGTCAAGAATATTGCATCGATAACCCGCGCATGAAATGCAGAGGAGCCATTCGATGCACCGCCGAGTATGCATACGCATACGGCACGTATCGCGATCGATGCCTCTGTTTCCTACTACGAGCGTTTCGATATCTTTATGAAAGCGACTGCGGAACACACGCGCGCGCGCACATGCACACATTGGCGCGAGCGAACACACACCACGGGGGATGAAACAGGCGAGCTTGATAAACGGAAATCGACTGACGCCGTGCGTTTTTTCGCGAATTATATCGAGAGCTCAAACGGATAACGCAATTTTTCCTTCCTTTTTCCTCTCCCTTCTTTTCAGGGAGAGGGCACTATATTTGAATCTATCTCTTCGATCTCTCGCATATTGACAGACCGTCCTCCGCACGGCGGTTAATCGCGCTGACGTCAGTGCCGTTGCGGCACACAAGTACGCACGGTACTGCATCTGCGATTGCGTTACGTGGAAAGTATTTGTTCCGAGTTCAGTTACGCCAAACATTTCGAAACAACAACTGAAGCCGATGCCGCGCGAGCGTACAAATGTTGATTCGGCCGAAGCTGCTGTGCTATGTGCGTGCGTGGTGTATCCACTGACGCGACGCCTAATGTGCATAAATTGTAAACTGCAACGGATAAGAGCCGCGAAGCGCGCATCATCGATAATCCGCTGTTTCGCTTGCGCCTAGAGTATGCCAGTGGTGCCCAACGAGTTCCTCGAGCTCTCGCTCGCCCGTCCCGCTCATTTCCTATCGGTTCAGAAAATCACGCGCCTGTTTTTACGCGCGCACGCTCCTTGACGATAAATTTCGGAGATCGAACGTCCCATCTCGTTGCTGCTCCCGTTTAGCGCAAATACTCAACTTCTCGCCCGCCATGAGGCGTCGTCCTCTCGTTTCATCCATCTACCTCTCCCAATTTCCATCCCGATACTCCTTCGTGTCCATTTATTTAGGTATTAGCGATCCGCTCGGCACACACGGTATCGTTAATTAGAACGCGCGGTTTGCAGCAGCCCGTACTCGATTTCGACGTAATTCGGCGCGCTCAATGTTTTTACGCGTCAGTGAGCGTTATAACGCGGGCGCATAAGTACCGATTACGATTAGGAGCAATTGATACCGTTGACGTTGCGATCAATAATTCCGCGGATACGTAATAGCGTATTTGCGTGTCGCCGTTCTGTTATAAAAATTACCCGGCCTGTTTGAACATCACGGCCGGTTATTCTATTTTTCGGCGACGAGAAACTCGACTCTGCCATACGTTTATTAATATGATGCGTGCGCCGATAATGCACCACCTAGATCCTCATGACAAACGCGAGCGTAAAGGGGCTTAGCGGCGAGAGGGACATAATCCGTGGTTCCAAGCCGTTCTGTCAGAATCCACGCGTGAAACGAATCACGTGGCATTACGTACTCGGCGAGTTCGCGCGGTGGAAGAACTTGGTGCGAAACGGCGGAGAATGCCAGATGATGAATGGAAAGGGAAATTTCATTTTGGCGAAAAAGTCATTCGCGCTTATTCGCGCGCGCGCTTTAATTTTCCGAAGATGCATTCGCGAAAACTGACACCGCGCTATTCAACGCCGTTTGGAGTGCAAAATATCTTCATATATATTTTCGCGTATGCTTTACTGTAGAAAATATTGAGTGTCGCGCGCAGCTTTCAAATTTATACCGCGGTGCGACATGATATACCGTGTTGCGTCTTAAAAAAAATAGAAGAGTTACGCTTATACATCACCCTCCTACAAAAGAGAGAGAGAGAGAGGGAGGGAGAAAGGAAGGAAGGGAGGGAGAGGGAGGGAGGAAGAGAGAAGGGTCAGGTTTACATGCGGTAAACGCCAGGAGACTCGTAGAATACTCGATGCTAATGGTTGTCCGGAAGGGCTCGTTGCCGCGGTGCTAAAGGATCCTTTGTGGGAGCCAGGCGCATACGTCCCAAAATTCCCGCGTCGCTGTTACATTCACGTTCTCACGAATATACCGGGGGGCGCGGCCCCATCTGCTCCTGGCGAAAGGAGGAACTTTGAGGACACGTTGAAAGAGCTGCCAGACATTCTTTGGAGGG